CAATTAACCCTTTAATGGTTTCCAGAAAGATTAATCATACTAATAGACTTAATGCTCAACTTATGTTGTCGTAGTCTCTACCAGCATTTCTGCAATAGTAATGCCTTTAACAATACGCGCTTCCAACTTTCGCTAAAATAGAAATGACCTTATTTTTAACAAATTGTAATGTACAAAAAATTGGCAACCGTCTAGAAATTCAAACAATTATTTCTCAATTTTTAAACTACTGTTTATGTTAATAAACAAATAAAATTTCTGAATCGAATATTAATTAATTACTTGCGGACATCTCGTTTAGAATTTAGTAAAATAAATAATTTAATATCTTACTTTCATATTATTAATCAAAACTGCTGAAAAAAAATTACTTCCAATATTTCGAATGCTAAATAATATTAAATAAAGCAAGTTTCAAGGCGATAAAATTTTAATAATAAAATTCCTGCATGAAAACATGCTATTAAAATAGTAAATTATTTTGGTTATTGTACCAAGATACTGGAGATATTTCCTTTTAAAAATATTACTTTAAATATTTTTTTCTAATTAGGAGAACAATGTTTTTATAACAACCACGCAGAGTCAATTTATTATGCATATAACATGCAGAAATACTAGAAACTAATTATATAACAATCAAAGCTTTTCCCATTTTTTTCACTAGGAAATGAAATTATTTTATGAAACAAAGCTTTAAGTAATAAAATATTTTATAAAATTCCTGTTAGAAAAAGCCTGTTAGTAGATCACCGAATTTCTCTTGGCAAGAAAAAACCACCGGTACAAAACCTGCAGCCCAGAGCCAATAGCTGCACCAATTTACATTATCACTTGAGCGAAATTATGACATTTTAATCGATATGGCTAAAGGGATTTTACTTTTTAGGTCACAATTTTTATCCTATGTGCTGTTAGTCAAAATAAGGCAAACAGAAAAAAACAGCATTATAACAAGGGAAACTCTTTGGAAAGTATCCAAAAGTATGATAAATCCTACAAAACTGCTATATATATTTTTTTATTTTTTGTTAAAATGTTTAGGATAAATAAGTTAAAAGAAATATCATTCTTTAAAATTATGTAATGATATCAATACGATATCTTTACATATAACATTATTATTATTCTCAGAACAATTACTTTTCACTTTGCAACACTATAGTAATGTCTACACAACAAATACACAGTTACATACAACTAAATCAATCTATTCGACCTATTTAAGTCCAAAAACTATCAATATTAAAAAAAATAACAAAACAAAACACAATATGATCTTAATCTAAATTTGAGGTTACGGGAATTCTGCCAGAATTATAATTTTGATATTTTTCTTTCTAAATATTGTTTTAAGATAGAATTCTGAATTAATACACACAATTTTAAGACAAACTACTGTTTTTAAATTAACCTTTCCAAACTTTTTACATAAAATGAAAAGCAATACAAAGTAACTTTTTAACACATTCATTATTGATTCCTTACCATATGCATTTTAGATATCTTATAATATCAGAGTAATCTAATATTTAATAAGATTAAAAATTAATATTTTAATATTTTTGCACCAATAAACTCTGAATTGAGTCATCCTATTTCAACTCTGTTAAATAAAATTTGCCTTGATTTAATTTAACAAGTAGTTACTTAAAAATCCTACTCAGTTTCTAATTTAAAAGTTACAATTGACAAACAGGACCTCTTTAACCATAAAGTTGTTTCAAACATGGATACTAAATCAATTAATTAATGTGTCTAACCAATATAAAGCTAAAATCAAATATACACTCACTTATTTTGGAAACCACTAAAAAGGACTTTATAGGCAAATAAACAAATTTGTCCTGTCCTTCCAATCAGACATTCACCAGAGGTCAAGAACCACTCAGAAGACAATTTTAATTCACAAATCTTCTATTTATATGCATTTGTTGACCTTTGCTGGTGAACACCAGATTGGAAGGGCAGAACAAATTTGTTTATTTGCCTATAAACCACTTTTTAGTGGTTTCCAAGTGTCTAACCAAGTTTATAATATTTTCCTTTGTTATTCAGAGCATAGAAAATATTTAAATACAAATTACAAAAACTCTATAAAGAATGAAAGTTGAATAAATCAGTAAGTTTAAAATTACTATATTTATTATCTAAATAGGAATTAGATAATTATACTGTTATCACAGTAGTTGTTATTAATCAAGACAGATGAGAGACAGAATGGACTCCAGTTCAACATTCTATTTGTTCTTTTTCTCACTACATATAGAAATAATTTTCTGACATTTAGATAATAAATTTCAGTTTTATTTTTTGCTTAACTGAAAAATATGAAACTCTTAAAGGTTATAATCCATTGCGATTTCTCAGCAGCTCTATAAACAATGCAAAAGATCTGTATTTATATAAGCATTTGTGTATACAGCTACACTTGAAAAATTTTTCAGTATACAATTCAAAAATACTTAATTTGAATAGTATCCTTCTTAAATAAAATTTTCCTCTATTAATAAGATAATATCTGAAGATAAATAAATTTAAAATGTATACAAATATGCATTAGTTAATATTCATGATATATATTTGCTAGTATAACAACAATTTACACAACAAATTATCTATCTTACACATTTATCAAAATAAATTAATCACAAAAAAAATTATTGATATCATATCGATGAATTTCATCTTAACCAGAGGTCCCCAAACTTTGGCTGTTGATCCTTTCAAGGATTCCTAGACCTTTTATCAACCCCCTAGATTAATAATAATAGATAAAACTTAATAATAGATAAATCTAGTAAGCCAGTATTAATCCGAACACCATTTTCATAGAGAAGATTTATTTACAGTATGCAAATTTACATCATCCTAAACTGTCATGTAAATAACCCACCAAACTGATAATTTTTAATAAACCACTTGCAATCGACCATCAACTAAATTTTGACTCCCCCAAAAATGCCTTATTGTCCTCAGGAAGTCAACACTGATCGCTTACAGACCTGAGCTAAACCAACAAATATATAAAAGTCAATTTTATTTGTGAGAATACATATAGAAACAAATTTCACAATTATTAACAATTAAACAGAGAATGTCACAAATTATTGAACATATTTTGAGAGGAAATGTCAATAAATATCAAACTAATCCAGATTGTCCATTCATTATTTATTCCTACATAATGTACAGTGTACCATGAATATCTGATATTCCATTTCAAAATTGCTAGCTTGTAACTGCAAGTGTTAAGGAACTCAATAAATCAATTTTCTGCACAAAGATGCATGCTTATTTATCATTTACCAGATTTTTTTCTGGTTTACAGACTGAAATGTATTATTTTATCTACAAAAAAAGAAAACCACAATTTAAAACAATAACTATATTTTTTTAATTACTGTATTGAGTCTGTGTGATCAGATTTATTTCAATCAAGTCACATGATTTGTTAAACTCTGATAAATTATCTACACCCTAATTTTTAATCTTATTCATATAAAAAAAGATATTCAAATTTCTCATTATTAAACACTCATATTTTGGTCCTTTACCACACACTAACTCTTTTTTAAATGGTGTCTTAACTTTCCATTGACTGGATTTATTAATTGATTGAAGGCTGTGCAATCAGACAATGTATTTGACTACATACTATGTTTTAAATCTAGTCTGAAACCTAAAATTTACCACGAATAGTATGAGTTTGAAGCAATACTCTTCAACCCATATTATTTCCATTATACATCGGCCGGCACGTGTGGGACATCAGCAATTACGTCCGTCATGGAAGTCAGATCTACCTGTAACGAACGATGCTTCAGTCTACTACATAGCCTTAACGTGCTAATTCTTCAGAATCATCTTAAATTATCCAAATTTATTAGAAAATGTATGCATGAAACAAAACCTTTACAATCCAGTAAATCATTTTAATATAAATATGACAAGTGTTTTCTACTTTACACACAAGATCAACAACATTCTAAATTTGAATGCATAAAACTAATTTAAATATTTTTCTAAAGGTTTTGTCGACATGCTTAGTCAACGATCCAGTTATCGGGAAGAAATTAATTTCGTTATTAGGAAATGAACATCTTTTGAAGAAAAGTCCGTAACCACGACCGTCGAGAGGTTATACAGGTGGCGAGGATAATGTTTGGCGATTTTTTTTTAAATAAACGAAATACATAGGATGTTTCTTTATTAATAAACGGCATTCTTAAAGATTCTGTCTTCTTATTTTAGGTCTCCCTATTACTATAACAATATACGAACACTCTCGACTTCCTCGATAGCACGAGACAAACCCTACTCGACTCACAGAACCGAAACTTAGCTCTTATACATTCAATTACTTTATTTTCCGTTAATAAAAGCATTTTATGGGAGTAGGAACCAGGATATTTCCCTAAGTTTTCTTTAGGCCAGGGGAAAAATCCCCAGATCCTCCCTCTCAACTGCTCATCTGTAACCAGACAACATATGAAAATTTAAAATTTAATTCTCATATGTTGACTGTGATATGAATATATTTTAATTATATTTTTAAGAAGAACAAAAATAATAAGCATTTTTTAATTTGCAATTATAACTAAATACAATTAATAATTTAATTATAATTACGCAAGTTAACTAATTTGCATATAGGTAAATAAGCCACCTAAACGTCACTTCTACCGATAATTTTAAAAATAAATACGCCAATTCATTCGAAGAAAATTCGAAATTTTTTATTATTTTTTTAAATTTTAAACGATAAAATAAAATAAAATTCACTTTAAAATACGTTTATTTAGTGATTTTTTAAAAAATATATTTTTATGGATTTTAAACGGCGTTTTATTACTTTCGCTTTTGACTGAAAGCTGTAAATTGTGGTCTGACCTGAAAAATTATTTTAATTTAATAAATTATTTAAACTATCCACTCGAATCGAGTCGTCAATTTAACAATAAATGCTTATTGGAAACGATAATTCTATTGTTACTTACCTAATACAAAAATAACTTGTCGAAATTAAAAGAAATTTAAGCTGATTTTATGGGTTTACAACTTCCGATATATGACCGGCGCCATCTTTCATAGACATCGAGATAACGAACTGTGTTATATCTCCAGCAATATTTTTCGACTTGGCAAGGTTAAATTGAAAAGTGTAATAATTTTTTTTTTCCTTTAAAATAAAAAATTAATAATTATTAATGTTTAAAAGTATGTATTGTAATTTATAAACTAATATTTTATTTGTAAAGAAATTAAATAATGGTAATTTGTTCGTTGCAACTTCTTACTGCAAACCAATATGGCCGAGCGGTCAAGGTGGCAGCCTACCGCTGTGGGGAACCCGGGATCATATCCGAACGGGTTGGAAAATTTCCGGCAATTTTTCGGGGGGTGGTCCGTTCGGATATGTCGGACCCGGTCGCCCCATTGTGGGCCTGGCCGAATCCATAATGGGCCTGCTATAAGAGACCCTCTTAATGCCCACAAAGCGGAAAGAGTAAAAAAAATGGGGCGGAAAGAGTATTTTAAAAAAAACCAATATAGTAATTTAACTATATGGCCGCGTGGCCGGGCGGTTAGCCCG